TATTATAGCTTTGTGGTATAGTTTAAAGTCAGGTAGTGTTATGCCTCCAGCTTTATTTTTTCGCTCAGTGTTGCTTTGGCTACGCATGGTCTTTTGTTCATCGCAGCACTCTTTACAATAGCTAAGAGTTGGAACCAGCCCAAATGTCCATCATCAGATGAGTGGATACAGAAAATGTGGTATATCTACATAATGGAATAATACTCAGCTATAAAAAAGAATGAAGTACTGCCATTTGCAACAACATGGATGGATGTAGAGAGAATTATATTAACTGAAACAAGTCAGGCACAGAAAGAGAAATATCACATGTTCTCACTTATCGGTGGGGGCTAAAAATAAATAAATAAATTCACACACACACACACACACACACACACACACACACACAACCGGGCGGGGGAAGAAGACATAACAATTGCAATTCCTTGAAGTTGATACAACAAGCGAACAGAAAGGACATTGTTGGGAGGGAGGGGGGAGAGGGAGGAGGGAGGGAGGTTTCGGTAATGAGCCACAATATTCAACCACATTGTATATCAACAAAATAAAATAAAATAAAACTTCTGCTTGTCAAAAGATACTGTAAAAAAACCTGAAAGTCATGAATATGCTAATAATAAATTTAAAAATTAAAAAAGAAAGAGAAAATTAAAAGTCAAACTGGAAAAAAATGTTCACAATGCACATATCTGACATAGAACTCATAAAAAGCATTGATAAAATAATAAATAACCCAATTTAAAACTGGGTAAAAGATTTAAAAAGATACTACTCAAAAGATATCAACGACCAATAAGCACATGAAAAGGTACTGAACATCATAAGTCATTATAAAAATATAAATTAAAAGCATAATGAGATAGGTATTTCACACTTACTAGAATGACTAAAATTAAAATATGGGCAATATCAAGTGTTGACAAGGATATGGGAGTACCGGAATTCTCATTCACTGATGATGGGAGTAAAAAATGGTATAAACACTCTGGAAAATAGTTC